AGCATTGCCCTTCAGAGCCTCAACCGGCCGTAGCTCCCCATTCATGTCGTGCTCCGTCCTGAAGAAGGCTGGTAATGCGCCTGGCTGCCTGGGCATATATAGCAAGATGCTTGGCATTTGCCATTCGAAGCTCCTCCAGCTCATCAGCAGGATGCTCTATCGCAGCCCTTGCCTTGGCAAGTCTCTTGGCAGTGTCAAACTGCAGCCATTGCCTGCTGTCTGGGCCAGACTTCCCAAGTGGTGCCAGAAGTCCGCACCCACCTGCCCGGCTGCACCTTTCCGCAAAGCATTCCAATCACCTCTGAGGTATATTCAGTTTATGCTTGCCCAGCACTGCCTGTAGCACTTTCCAGTAGGGCCAAGCTCGTGCTTCAGAGACTTGGCCAGTCGCAAAGGATGCGCAACTCCCATCAACGACCCAGGTGCCATTGTCCCAGTGCCCAATCAGCAGTGCAACAGCATACTTCTTGAGCCTCACTTACTGGCACGTGGGATGAACTCCAAGGAAGACCTTCTGTTGCGGCTGTATGACAATGGGCCACCCATTTGCCAACACCCCCGAGACAACATAGGACTCAGGTCCATCAACCAACCTGCAATCAGGAAGTTCAATCAGTCCATGTGTCCACAACATTTGTCCTTCATTGGCCACAATGTCAGTGACCCATTCAGGAGGCAGAGCAGTACTTGGCACTGCCACATCAAGCGTTTGAGAGTCACTGGCGTATTGCACAATGGGACACAGCGCCCTGCCACCACTGGCATGCATCCTCAAAGAGCCCTGAGTCCAAGCATCAACAGCAACTCGATGTTCAGGAGCACAGGTTTTGAGGAACTTGTCCTCAACTGGCAGTGCTCTTGGCTTTGGATATCATGGGCCCTTTGGTGAGTGAGCTCCTTCTCAACCTGCCTCTTCAAGTACGGCCACGGGAATTCAATGTTGAGGTTGAGCCCAGGGAGACGAGCAGAAGGATCCCTCAACCAGTCAGTCAGCTCTGCGGCATCCCATTGCTTTTTGTGCAAGTAGGTTTGGAGAGCTGCCGTAGGCCCAGCCACCACCATCCATGGATATGCAGTCCTCTTCAGCTTCTGCCAGGTCAGCCTCCAGGCCGAATGGAGTTCACGCTTCTGGAGAAGATTCATGGCCTTCATTTGTCTCTCAATGACCGTGTCTTTGGGATCCTGAAGCTGCCAATGTTGATCGAAGACGATGTCAACACTTCCTCCTTTCTGCAGGCCTCCATGCTTGGCAAGTTGAGCGCGCAGCGTCTCTGTGGCGCAATGCCCTGGGCTTCAGTCCCATAGCAGGCGGCAGAGTGAACTGAGGTCTTCCAGATTCTGATCCTGACAGGACGGCTGTGCAGTTTGAGCCGCTGCAACTTTGATTGCCTTCCTCGACCTTCAAGCAGTCTTTTCTGGGCTATGCCAATCCTGCGTCTGCGAGCTCCACTGCTGTCAATGCCCGGGTCCTTCATCAAGTCGTGGACTTCAGGTTGCTGGTCAGAACGAAACATGGTGATGGCATTCTTGTCCCGAACAGAGGAGGGCAGAAAGCCAGTCTTCTCCTCAGACAGTTGGAGACCAGGAAGAGTACCAGGAAGCTCCAATAGAGTTCGCAGGGACTCATAGCCATCTATATAATGCTTCCCGTGCAATTAGGCCAGCTTCATCTCCAACAAAGTCGACCGAGACGTCATCAACCAACGCCTGAGGGAACTGTTGAGTGAAGATCCTGATGGCTAGGGCAAGAACAAGCTTTGCCACCACCCCTCTACCTCTACCTCTGCCTCTACCTCTACCTCTACCTCTACCAGGGGCCCTCGGAGCTGCTTCCTTGGGGCATCGCAGCTGCGGCTGGCTAATGCAGCACTCCTGGGCACATCGAAAGTGAAACGAGGCGGCACTTGTGGAACTTGTGGATCAACTAGCTAGGTCTCAGTGTTCTTCCTCCTTCACCTCTGGCTTCACTTCCTCCTTAGGCCGGGCCTCTTACCCTGCGGCATTTGCACATCTCCGACTTATTCGCTGTCCTTCTGTCACTGGCCACCGGCAACAAGGGCAATGTCCTGGTGGGGGTGTTTCCTCCAGAGCTTACTCCGTCATGAACGTGAAGTGAACCAGCTGGGCTGCCTTCATCGAATTAGTCGGGACATGGGGTTGATCTCTGCCGTTCATCACATTCGGGTAGCATGCATCACCCTGCAGGACGAACACGTGCTCGTCTTCTTCTTCTTCTTCTTCTCCTCCGGCGCTCTTCCAGCCTCTGTTCTTCCTCACCTTTGCTGTTTTCCGTTTCGCCTTCCATCCCTTTGACTCTTCTGTTTCTAAGCCATCTTTTCTTTATCCTCCTCGCCTTCATCTTCTTTCTTGCCTTCGGCCTCATCATCAAACAAGATGTCGATGGGGTCTTCCCGATCCTCCTGCAACCCCATCCAGCCCGTCCTCGATCTCAGGGTCGGCCTCGGCCACATGCTCTGCATTCTTTGAGTCCCTTTGGCCTCTTTCAACCTCTTCATCTCTGACAGATAGTGAGCTATTGTCTCACCTGGTTGTTAACGACAGCGCTCCAGCAGCTAATTGTCCACCCTCAAACAACTCAGCATCACTTTCTCCAAAAGCCTCGCCCAAGACCTTCCTAACGGGTTTTCAAAGAACTCTTCAACTTTGACCGACCCGAGTGAGCTTTTGGGTTTGTACCCATACTCCTGCCCCAAACGTCTCTTCAACACTGAATTGATTTCTATTTAAGGTTGCTGCCTTTGAAGACTTCTGTGATCCAACCTCATCCGGATCCATGGGATCAGATGGTGGTTCTTGTTCAGCTGCTGACTCATTCTTCGATGGATTCGGTCCTGACGAGGTAGGACCTCCTGGTCCTGACGGCTTTGACCATGAATCCGCTGAGCTCACGGTCGGAGGGACTCCAAGACGTTCATTCATGTTCATTTACTGTACCATCTCCAGCAACTCTTGCTCACGCAACTCGCCTGTTCTGCTAAAGGCACGGTTGAAGTGGATGACCGGCTTCCCTTCCTTGTCTCGTCGTTGCTTACTTTGTATGTGGTTGCCAAGCAGCTTAGAGGCGGAATTCAAGTGGTGATGAGTCCAGAACTGGTTTCCTTTTGTGCGCAAGCCGGTAGAAACACGCGCGCACGTTTTTCAGTTCGGCTCCTTGTGCGCAAGTTGTATTGATGCTTGAAAGGAAGTGCTATGTCAATGCATAACTGGCCTTCGCATCATATTTATATGATTCGGTGTCCAGCCTGTGGTGCCAGTGCCAGTAGGTCTCAGTAGGTGGAGTGAATGGCAAGGCGTTTTGCAAGACCACCAGCATGAAAGGACAATGCCCCAGTGCCTTGTTGTTCCCATAATTATTCCTTGAACACCAATGGGGTTCTTCGTGTGCTCGAGAGGTTTTCCGCTCAAGTCATAAATGTCCGCTCGAAGTGAAAAATTGTGCTGGTTGAAAGAACCGCGGGAGGATATCACCTTGCATTCGCACCATATTCGCACCATGATGATAGTTGCCAGCTTCGATGTGTGCACGCAGACTTCTTGATCAGGGTCGCCGCTTGCCTCATTTGTCTTAATTTACCATTGGCGTGACCCCCATCCACAGAGATGGCAGCATCGCACCTTCTTGTCAAAGTAATGTCAACGTAGGATTAACCAACCCCCCCTATTAATCAAGCCCAGCTGGAGCCTCCAATACTAAACCACTTAAAACCCTGCAACCTCCCCCTGATAATGTTTGTTCCTTGCCAGAACCCCCCCTGTTAATCAAGCCCAGCTGCACGAGAAAAAACACAATGTAATTGTATTCATATTTATTGTGTTTATGTACTTTCTTCTTTGCTAGCAGACTAGCATTCACATATCCACCAATCATCAATCATTATCATCGTCCTTTTGCCTCTCATCCTGCTTTTTCTTCTCATCCTTCCCTGTTAAAATCCAAAAAACTTGCTAGCAAAATTCTTTCATTTTCCCTTATTAAAAACTCTTTCAAAATCTTAAGGCTTTCAAGCTCACAAAGGGTACCCCTCACACAGGCCCTACCACCCCCTAATAGTAGGGACCCCTCCCCTATTAATCAAGCCCACCCTCTGGCCTCCATCTTGTTTTCCATCTCTTTCATCCCGCAATCCTCTTTCTTTTCCTAATCATCCCAATCAAAGAAAGAATCTTGCCTTCCAATCTCCTTCATCTTTCCTAATCATGCCAATCCCAATCTTTCCCAATCTTGTCCTCAGTCCTCATCTCATCATCCATCATCCATCATCCATCATCAGGTCATCATCTTTATTAAGGGGATGTGGTCTCCAATCCCTCCAATCCCAGACCTTGTTCACCTTGTTGACCTTGAAGGGGGGGGGAGGTTGAATAATCCTACGTCGACATTATGCCACAGCCAAGGCAACCTTCCGAGATTTTCTCTTAAGACATCAGGCGCTGCTCCCAATGAGTTCACATCTATATATATACTCAAGTCCTAAGTTTCTCCCATCAGGCCATCATCAATGCCATGCTTATCGCTTGCTTCTCCGTCACCCTTGCACTCAACAATCCCAAGATTGCAGGCGTGCTTTTGCTTGACCTCCTTGATACGCATCCATGAAAGTGAAGGCTGCGGACATTTGTATTTGCACGCCAGGAGATAAATTTCCGCCCCCTAATAATAACACCCCCCTTGATCAAGTTGAGGGCCATTCATTCTTGGTTTTGAAAAGATTTAGCATTATTATTCACGGGCAGTTTATTATGCGGTCAACCTTAGTAAATAATAGTAAATATATATATATATGTGTGTGTGTGCATATGTCAACATCGTCCAGTCCGGGAGTGGTTCTCAGGTGTGTGTAAGAGGGCACGCCAACTACTGTCCGGAAGATATACAGTATGCAATCAGGCCAAAGCAGTAACCAATCCCCTCCCAGCTCTTTGTTTAAATCGCTTTATCAACTTTCACGGAACTTCCTCCGTTTGTATTCTGGCCGCGCATGGGCTTTTGGGTCGCTGGACTGACGGGGCTGGCCCGCGCTTTGTTTGCAACCTTTGCCCAAAACAGTCATTCTCCTGTGCGACCGTGCTTTGCCTCGAGGCCTGCTGAAAGCACACGAAGTGAGGCGGCCAGGATTCCCTCGGAGCGTGAATGCAAACCAATCCTGGCAATTGTTCCAAGACTTGTTGGGCAAGGACTTCCAAACAATGATGCTTGACGACTTGGAAGAAGCAGACCCAACAGAACACGGCACTGTGATGCTGGACAACCAAATGGCAGCACAGATGAAGAGGATCCAAAGAGCCAGTTCACGCACCCAAAGCTTCCAAGACCGCATGTGGAGCTGGTCTGCAGCTACCTGGGAAACCAAGGAAGCATGTCTTGCGGCGTTCAGCCTGAACGACATGCTGCAAGAGAGGCAAGCCGCAAGAGATTCAAGATATGGAGACAGGAATGAAAATTACCTGGACTCAATCAAGGCTTATGGTTTGCCTGATGGAAGTTTGCTGGGTGAGTTTTTGGCAGATGATGTCGAAAGAGTGAAGTCCACCCGGCATCTGTCCAAGGAAGCAGGAGTTTCGGAGGAAACGTGGCAGAGTATGGAGGACCAGGCCAAAAAGGCGAACGAAAGCGAGGGGAATCAGGAGGGACAAGAGCAGAAGAACAGCAAACCGGGCTCAGAGGACGAAGAGAGCTCTTCCGGGGGAGCCTCTTTGCTACAGCTTCCTGAAGCATTTGTAAGTGGCAAAGAAATACTCCGACACCTGACGACATCAAGCATCAGATAGCAGAGCTTCACAATCACGACTTGAAGAGGAGCGCTGCTCAATGTGAGGAATTGGAGGATCTTCGAGATGCCAGCCGCTTGAGCCAAATGGAGGACGGACTCACTTATGATTTCTTCGCGCAATCTGAAGCATGGCTTCAGAACAACATGACGAACATGACGTCCATGTCCACACTTTGTCCAGAGCTTTATCTTGCATTTCTAAATTCTAGGTCAGGCACGTCGGCATTTGGATGAAATGGAGCAAGATGTGAGATACAAGTCTGGCACCTTGACGGACATGGACTTCAATGTTTTGGCAGCCGACCTTGAGCAAATTGCGTCCAACTTGACGCATTCGCTTGTGACGCTTCTCTTCAACCAAAGCGCACTTGACATGTTTGACACGGCCAAAACCTTCAGGGATGCAGCCGTCGTGAACCAAGCCATGGCTGCCTATATCAAGCCAGACGTCGTTGTTGGTGAAGATGCTGGCCGTGATCGCCAAGGCATGATGCGAGTTTACTGGACTAGAGTCCAAGTCCCGTTTCGAGCAAAGGCCCTTTGGACCGAAGAAGGCTTCAAGGAGGACTGACATTCAAAACCATGCAGCTGATTTTTTGATCAGCAATTTGTGCACAATATGTGTTCTGTGATGAATGTGTTTCATGAGCATGACCTTTTGGGCGAACACAATGAAGGCCAGCAAACAAAACACAACCTATATGCAAACCATGCAGGACTACAAGGCAAGCTTGGAGGCTCGTCGCCTAGCTCATGAGTGGGCTTCAGTTGTGAAAGGCCTGCAGGAACGCCACACGAACTATTGGAAGGACATCTCCATGGGCGACCCTTGGGAGATTGAGAAGACTTTAGTCTCTGGCTACATCTTCAGGTTGCTTGATTCAAAAGAAAGTCTCCTGAGCAATACCATGGCAAGCCTAATCTACGTCAACATTTTGATGGCAGCCTTTTGCTTCCTGTTTTTGGGACCACGCTTGGGGCTGCTGCTGGCTCCCTGCATTGCCTTGATGACGGTGACAACCTTCGGCTTTTACGGCGCGTGTGGTTTCAAGATCGACCCCATCTTGGCTTTGGCTTTGCTCATTTCTTCAGGCACAACCGTTGACTTTGTCCTTCATTTCGTCATGGCAGCTGCAGCCTGCACACCGGCCAATCCCAATATCCACGTCTCAGGCTCTCAGCGATACATCGTTGCAATGAAGAGTGCTGGAGTTGGCATCTTTGCTTCATATGTTACCACTTTGGTCGGCATTGTCCCCATGGGCTTCGCACGGTTGAGCTCTATTCGGTCGCTCTTCATGTCTTATGTCATCAGCTTGAACGTTGGGATTTTCTTTGGCCTCGTTTTCATCCCTTTGGTCTCTATCTATGTCTATGGGGTTGATCTTGCTCCACGAGGCGCAAAAAAGAAGACCGAAAAGGCCGATGAGAACGAAGTGCATGGTGCTGGAGCCCGCTTCGTAAAGAAGAAGCGGGATTCAGTAAAGGAAAAGGCAGAGCCGGAAGACGGCAAGTGGACGGACAAGGATCTTTGACGCTGTTCGGGTACTTTTTGAAGGTTGAGGATCAAGACAAGTGAGGACATTTTCCCAAAGTGGACTTTCATGTTTCTGACTTGAACTTATATAGCTCAGCACAGAGGAAACAAAACAGGATGGTTGACAACTACGGAATGCCTTGCCGCTTGAGTATGTAATTATATAATATTATATAACTTTAACTAGATCAAGGGCTTGCGCGCACAGTAAAGCAGCATTTGTGCCAAAGAATTAGGCCAAGACTTCAAACGCCGTACCCTATCGTTTTGTCCTTTAAATCTTGCCTTCGACTATGCCTCTTTCCAATTCCTTTGCACGCGACCCCCTCCACGTGAATGTTCTAGAAGGGGACCTACATTCGCATGCTCCAGCAATCCTAAACAAAAACTACAACCTAAGCTCAAGCCATCACCAAGCAAAGCAAACGGGTTTAATATTGCGTTGGAAACAATAAATTCTTCACGCTGTAAAACTCGGGTGCTATGAACCCAACAGCTGGTGCAAAATACAACGGCTGGTCAAGGAGCCAAATTGGGGAGGCTGGACATTTGTGGGAGCATGGAGCTCATCTCAGTCTGAAAGGTGGAAGGTTAACAGGAGCCTTCTATGTCTATGTCATGTCTTTGGCCGGTAGCACTATGTTGAAAATGGTTGACAGACCGGAAATGCGTGCCAGACGTCTCATACAGTAGCATGGCAAGCATGAATGAGACAATGGGCGCCCTTAGCAATGCCGTTTCTCAATGTTGTTGTGGGCGCAAGTGGCCAGTGTATTTCATCTATCTGATGAGATTCCTATGATCGTTAAAAGGTACACTTGTCAGAAGTGGGGAAGAGAAGTGTGCACAGCCAAGGAGCTCTGACCTACATTGATTCCACATACAAGTGCATGAGCCATCCAACAGGGTAGGAAATCACGTCAGCTTGTCTAGGACCCGAGGATGCTTCGTGACACCGGCGGCTGTCCCACATGACACCTCATCCCTGCGACTGTTTATTCGCTCCGCTACACGGCTGGGTCCGCCCGCGCCGGGAGAAATGTTTGAGTCAATGTTGTGGCATCTGTGGCCTTGTAGTATCGTTGCAAGCACTGGCGGTGGCTAGATTCAAAAAGTTTTTCAAGAGAAAGTTTCTGAGTGCTACAAAAAGACACATAGATTCCCATCATCCCGGTTCTACCTGGCTAATACAAACCCCTAACCAGCTAAAGCCGTACCATGAAGCCGCTGGTGTTTGTCAATGCCGCTTCTACCTGCTATTTTTGACCAAATCTTAAAAGACACAGTTTATTTTTAAAATAAACTTGTTCAAGAACGCCTCAAAGAATGTGTGTCAACTGCCAATATTTACGAAGAGTTTTACGACGTTTTTTGCGCTCGATTTTCAACCTTCAACAACATTTCAATAATTACCAATCAATCAGATTTGTTTTTTCTTTGATGTTCTTTGTGGTTGGGCCCTTTCCCAAGAGAACAACAGCTGTGCCATGGCTTTGCTTCGCACAGCGCGACTAGTGTTGACTCAATTTTTGACTTCAACCATTGTGGTTGGGCCACTTGTGAATGTGCTTCTTTGCTCAGACTCTACACTACACATTAGTGAGAGTCGCTCAAAATCAGGTGCCAAGTCATGCAAAGTTGATGCAAACATGCAAGCTCTTTTGTTGATTGCCTGACACCAGGTGATTCAACCGACCACCGAACATCAAATTGATAGGAATGCGACAACTTACCTCGCAGCACATCGAAGCTCGAGAAACCCCATGATTTGCAAGGAGCAGATTCTGGGTGAGTTCGACAGGGAAGTGGCCGTGGATCAAAACCGGAACCCTGAGGCTTCCCCACCGAACATAAACCGAATCGACGCCCCCCAGACATAGCAAACTTACCAGATTGAAACGGGCCCCCGGGGCACCGTGACCCACAGCCAGTTGGACAGAAGTGTCCTTTGTGAGCCTCTGGACTCTGGACCAGCCGATGGTGGGAGCGGAATCAAAGGCTATGGTGTTTCTTTGTGGAACTTTCCATGAAACCGCAGCCACCGGCTCTGTCTCAAGCTGGAACCTTGTGGTCCTCAGTGTGTGATTTTGCTGCCACTTGAGGTGCGCACAAATCCGAAATCAAACCTGCAACTAGGCATTGAACCCAATGGTGCCGACGACGCCGGAATACATGTTCGATCGCCGTGTACCGACTCGCCTGTTCCACACAGCATCGCCCTTAATTTCACTCTTTTAGGCTGTGCTCCCGCTTTGGGTTCATGCCCTTTACACGCTTCTTTGAAGCTTTGAGCCGTAGCAATGAC